GCCTTGATACCTGTTATACTAGCTCAACCAGCCATATGGAACCACACATACATTCCAAACTTGGGAGACTCTGCACCTGTGACTTTACCAACATTTGGCAAGGCTTAGGCATCATGTGCTCAAGTGTGAGTGTCCTGTCTCCTCTCTCCAAAAGAAAGTGATTAAAAAGTGAAGATGGAAGATGGTGCTGTGGTGCAGGTTAATCCTCAGCTTGCAGTGCTGGCATTCCATATGGGCACAGGTTCGAGTCCTGGCTGCTCCACTTCCAATCCAGCTCTCTGCTATGGCCTGGGAAGGCAGTGGAGGATGGCCCAAGTGCGTGGGAGACCAGTAAGAAGCACCTGGCTCCTGGCTTCACATCAACCTAGCTCTAGCCATTGTGGCCATTTGGGGAGTGAACCAGTGGATGGAAGACTTCTCTGCCTCTCAAAAGAAATGTTTTTTTTTTTTAAAAAAAAAAAAAAACAGGTTCAGTTCAGATTATTTGCAGACCCTGAACACTAAACACAGTAAGGAATTTAGACTTGATTTTTACCTCTTAAATACATCTATAAAATAAATCAATGCCTGTCATTGGTGTGAGGATTAATGATGGAGAAAAACACACAGACAGGAGAGATTATGAGAAGAGCAACTGTTTTTATGTGAGCTGGAGCCACGGATACCTCTCGGTGTGAAGTTCTGCTCCGCAGGGCCACTGGACACTCCGTCTCGTTTCATCTCACTCTCCTGCGATGCACGTCTCGACCACCAGAAGGCGCTCGATACAAAGGAACCAGAGACGTCCCAGCAACGGGAAACCTGACCCTGGCCCAGATCCCAGCTTCTCAATGGCTCGGTGGGGACCTAGGTGCCCCTTCTGGCCCTTTTTCCTTCTCACCCTGAAAGCTCAGCAACTAGGCCGATGAAGGTGCCTGTCAGAGGATGTGGGGGTGAGCAGGTGGAGGCCGAGGGTCAGATCTGGTCTGCAAGCCTGGGTTTTTTAGCTCCAAAGACTTTCATCAGCTCCGCTCTTAAGCCACCAGGTCCAACTCCTTGGGACACCCTATCCAGGCCAGGCAACCTGGAAAAGGAGCTGGGGCTGCAGTGAGGACCGTAGCCTCGTCAGTACTCAGGGAAGCATCCACCCAGCGTGCCGACCCCAGCTGCAGGTCTGCCGGAGAGGGCGAGGCGGCCTCGCTTCCCCAATCCCTTCACAGCGTATTTACAAAGCCTCCTTCCCTTCATCTCCTGCACTGAGTTCCTGCTGTTACCGATGTTAAGCGAAGGCCCAGAGACCCCAACAGTGGACCCAAGATCAAACAGGCCTGGGAGGAGCTCGGAGACCCCACGGGAGGGCAGGCAGGCAGAGCAACAGCCTTCAGGGCTGCAAGCACTGGCTCTTAGCCAGGCCGCACACCCAGCCTCGCAGGGCCCCAGCCTGCCAGTCCCACCTCCACACTCCCACCCCAGTCCCTGGAGAGCACATCGCCCTGGCAACAGCCAGAGAAAGGCCCAGCTTAAATATTTATGGCTCAAAACAGTCCAGAGGCTCCGGGAAGGCTGATGTCATCCCTTCTCAGCTTGCAGGGGAGGTGAGTGACAAGCAGGGCAGCTGAGTGGGTGGGCCAAGCCCATTAGGTCAGGGCTCTCAGAGGAAGAACGCTAGGGCCCTAAGTGGTAATGGGAGGAGGGCGGAGGCTACGTGTGACAGGTGGCAGCACTGGGTAAGACCCAAGCCTGGAAAAAAAGGGAGGAAACTTGAGTGTGGTGCTCCCAGTGCTGCGTCCAGCGTGCCAGGCACTTCAAGCACGCTCCCACTTAGCTGGTAGGGACTTCTTTTATGGAGCAAACAGGCCCTAAAAAATACCTAAGCAAGGAGCTGGGATTTGAATCCAGATCTGTTTGGCTTGAGCACTGTGGGTTTTCCTGTAAATTCTGTGGCTCCTGAGTGGATGTCCGGCACCCCCACTCACCTGTGGCTCACTGCTGGGCCTCCATGCTACAGCCAGGATGCCCTCTGGGTCCCCAGCTCCCCCTGCAAACCCCTTCCTGTCCTGTGGACTGCAGCAGGGCCTCAAACGCCATATGGAGGGACTCTGGCCACCAAGTAAGGCCTAGGAGACCAAGCCGCCGAGGCAAGGGCCGCCTCAGTGGCCAGCCCCAGACGGAGCACTCAAGGCAAGCAGGGTGTGCTTGGGACGTGAACAGTTTTTTTTTTTTTTTTTTTTAAGTATTTATTTATTTGAAAGGCAGAGTGAGAGAAGCAGAGAGAGGTGTTCCATCCGCTACTGGCACCCATATGGAATGCCAGCACTGCAGGCGGCAGCTTTACCCGCTACACCACAGCGCCAGCCCCCGTCTTGTGCAATCTTTAACACTCTAAAGTTCCATGCTTCAGAAACTCTTGTGCATGGGGCCGGGGCTGTGGTGTAGCACGCTAAGCTGCCACCTGCAGTGCTGGCATCCCACATGGGCGGGTGCCAGTTCGAGTCCCGGCTGCTCCACTTTCCATCCGTTCTCCCTACTGATGGCCTGGGAAGGCAGAAGATGCCAGGACCTTGGGCCCCTGCACCCGCTTGGGAGACCCAGAGAAAGATCCTGGCTTCGGATCAGCCCAGCTCTAGCCGTTGTGACCGTTTGGGGAGTGAACCAGCGGATGGAAGACTTCTCTCTCTGCCTCTGCTTCTCTAACTCTGCCTTTTGAATAAGTCTTTAAAAAACAAAAACGAATTTCCTGCATAAACCCGGATGCCCTGTCAGCCTAGACAAGACATTTGCACCAACGTAAGTCTTCACTGTTTCACAGCACGGACTGAGTCCAGCTTCACCTTACCCTACCCTTGGGCAAGTTATTTCTCCTCGAGCCTCAGTTCTCAGCAATGGACTGGAGAATTACACAAAACCAAGCAGAGGAATGCCTGACCCGGTGCCTGGTTCACACCAATCAATCACGAAATTACTACCACTATTTCTAGTCACCAAGCACAAAGACAAGACCCCAAGGCATGCTGGGGGGTTAAACAGCTTGCACATTTTAAATCAAGTGATTCAGGCCCCTTTTCATTATGCCTGGGCTCCTGCTACGAGTGAATGCAAGCTCATTAGAACGCCCCGGGCACGGTTCAGATGCAGACAGGCTGTCTCTCGGCACTCAGCGCTCCCTTTGTTAGGATAAACCACCAGAAAGCACTGCAGCAGAGCCCGGTGGTGGAGGCCCCTGGGCTCCCACGAAGCTCAGGGTGCATCAGACACAGGGAAGCCGGCACGCCCATCAAAGGCTGGTTTTCCAATCCTGGCACCACGTTCGATGCAGAGCTGGCCCAGGACAGCTGGAGGGAAAGCCGGGGCTGCATGGGGGCTCTGGCTCTTTCCCTAAGCTGATGGAAGCTACCAGAGTGGGATCGTGCATCACGTGACCGCATCTTTATTGAGCTGCTCAGGGGCAGACTTGTCGGGAAGAAATATAGTACAGATGGGAGGCAGGAAAAAAGCCCTACTCTTCAAGAGATTTTTGGACAAGGTAAGTAGTCAATGGCAAAGAGAAAAACAGGCTCAGAGACTAAGTTAACTTGCCCAGGGTAAATGCACTGTCTTACTATGGCTTTCCTTGGCCTCTCAGAAGGGGCTCCTAGGCTGACACGCACAACATAGGTGTGTCGGGGGAATACGAAGTGGTGACTGGGTGTCCCTACCAGTTCTGCAAGAGGCCAAGTAAGAGGGACCAGGCAGGCTGGGCACAGTAGCACCCCAGGAGAGCCCAGTTTATTTTGTTCTAGGCGCCCCTCGACTCTGCAAAGCCTGGAATAGGTGAAACTCACAGCATCCCAGTCCCCCGCCACCCGAGGATTCCACTCCGGGCCCACAGGCTCTCTGAGTGAATCAGATCAGAGGGGGTAGTACAAGGCTGCTGAGCCGCTCTCCTGGGCTTCTCTGGGCTCAGCACAGGCCCTCAGGCCAGCCTCCACAGCAGCCAGCCCTCCGGGGCTTCCGGTCCTCGAGGCTGCAAAGACACAAAGGAGAGTGAAGGTGAAGCTGCTTCTCCTCTGGCCAGGCTGCCTCCCTCCCTCCCTCCCCACCCTGCAGCACCGCCCTGCTCGCTTCATCCACTACCAGGGGTCTCTGGGTACACAGGTGGGCAGAAAACAGGCCCACAGCCTTGAGCTCTCTTCTGAAAAGGCAGCCTCACACCCCTCCCTCCCATTCTTGGCAGAGCCTGAGTGACCCAGGGAACAATCAACTAAACCCTTGGGGCCTCCACCACCCCAAGTGGAAAATGTCCTCTGACGTGTAGAAAAGATCGACATGGAGCCGTTTTAAAGCCTTTGGAAGAGGCACGGTGTTGTGGCTCAGTGGACTTATCTGCCACGTGGGACGCCTGCATCCCCTATCGGAGTGCGGGATGGAGTCTCAGCTCCTCCACTTCCAATCTGGCTTCCTGTAAATGCACCTGAGGGAGGGAGGGACGCCCCAAGGGCATGGGATGGGGTTCCAGCCTCCTGCTGTCTGCCTGGCCCAGCCCTGGCTGTTGCAGGCTTTTGGGGAGTGGTAGATGGTGACAAAGGCTCTCTGTGGGTCAATCGGACAGGCCGAGGTGGGGCTAACAAACCTGCTGGTCTCCTCTAAGCCAGGCATCTTCTCTCATTGTTCCTGTTGGCAACTTGCTTCTGTTCAGGGTCCACCCCTTTTGGTCTCATGAGTTTATCGGCCTCAAATACTCAGGGTCACCCAGAGAAGAGACACACCGGGCAGGGACCTGATCTCAGGTCAGACCTTGCAGCGGTGCCTTTCCCTCTTTTAAAATGGCACTACCACCCCACCCTCCCCAGCTTTCCCAGTCAGTAACCTGGAACCTTCATACAGCTGCTTCTCCTGCAGCTCATCACGAAATCAGGCTCATCCTACTTTCCATGTATTTTTAAAAATACACAGAAAAAAAAAAAAAAACTCAAGTTTTTTTTTTTTTTTTCTCAAGATTTATTTATTTATTTGAAAGGCAGTTACACAGAGGGAAGGATCTTCTATCCGCTGGTTCACTCCCCAGATGGCCAAGGCTGGGACGGTCTGAAACCAGGAGCCAGGAGCTTTCTCTGGGTCTCCTGCATGGGTGTAGGGATCCAAGCACTTTGGCCATCCTCCACTTTTCTCATTACCTGGGTGCTGGATCAGAAGTAGAGCTGCCAGGACTTGAACCAGTGCCCATATATTCATAAGGGACTCTGGCATTGCGCTTTGCAGGCAGCGGCCATATCCACTGTGCCAGCCCCTCCTACTAGCCCTTGAACCCACTTATTTCTCTACATTATCACTACTAACCTATTTAGGGCTTTTCTCTTGCCTGGATGATCAAGGTTTTCTAACAGGTATCCATAACCATTCCTTACCCATTCATCAGCCAAGTTTTAAAATCAGAAATTCCATGTTGTTCTGTCATCCTTCAACTAACGGTCTTCAGGAATGTCCTCAGCTTAAGATCCAGATTCTGACCTCATTCGGAAGCTTCCTCAGTCCACCCTCGGCCCAGACGGTGTTCTATGTCCTCTCCCCAGCCCTCTGCCTAGCCAGGTGCCATTTTTTTTAGAGTTGTTACAGTGAGGGGGAGAGACAGAGAGAGAAATGGAGAGAGGGACAGAGAGAGAGAAAAATATTTTCCATCTGCTGGTTCACTCCTCAAATGGCCACAATAGCCGGGGCTTAGCCAGGCTGAAGCTGGGAGCTTCTTCCAGGTCTCCAATGTGGATGCAGGGGCCCAAGCACTTTGGGCCACCCTCCACTGCTTTCCTAGGCATATCAGCAGGGAGCTGGATCGGAAGTGGAATAGCCAGGACTCAAACCAGAGCCCACACAGGATGCCAGTGCTACAGGCCGGGGCTCTAACCCACTCCAACACTGTACCTGCCCCAAGACCTTAGTGTACTTTTTATTTTTTAATTTGACAGAGTTATAGACAGTGAGAGAGACAGAGAGAAAGGTCTTGCTTCCGTTGGTTCACTCCCCAAATGGCCACAATGATTGGAGCTGTACCAACCTGAAGCCAGGAGCCAGGTGCTTCTTCCTGGGCTCCCATGCGGGTGCAGGGCCATTCCCTACTACCCTCCCAGGCACAGCAGAGAGCTGGAGTGGAAGAGGAGCAACTGGGATTAGAACCCAGTGCCCATATGGGATGCCAGTGCCGCAGGCAGAGGATTAACCAAGTGAGTCACAGCGCCGGCCCCGAGTGCACTCCCTCTTTAACAGAACTTTTCAACTGAGTAATCTCCAGCGTTTATGATACTATCAGTTTGTCTATCTCCCCAAATGTTCTGTAAGGTCCAAGACAACCATTTTGTTTACTTGCTGCTCAAATCTCCAGTGTCTATGAACATAGCAGGTGTTATAATTTATAATAGTAAATGTATAAAAGAGGAGACTGAATGGGATTATTCGTACTGGTTTCTGGAGAGCTTATGAAGAATCCCTTTGGAGCTCAAGGTATTTCTCTTGCAAAGGCAGATGCAAGGGTCTGCACTGTGGTCAGTGGGTTAGGCTGCCGCTTGTGCCATCAGCATACCACATCATAGCGCCAGTCTGAGTCCCTGCTGCTCCACTTCTGATCCAGCTCCCTGCTAACATCCTAGGAAAGCATTTGAAAATGGTAAGAGTGCTTGGGTCCTTGCTACCCACCTGGGAGACCCATACTGAATTTCTGCCTCCTGGCTTCAGCCTGGCCCATCACTGGCTGTTGTGGGCATCTGGGGAGTGAACCACCAATTGGGAAATATTTTATTCTCTCTTTCAAATCTTTAAAAAAGGGGGGGGGAGAGGGGGCAGATGTAGAACTTGTTTCCCACATTCCTGTGACGGGGGCACTCACCTTGTAACTAAGGCTGCCGAGCAGGAAGACACCAGGGCAGAATGAAGCCTGTGTCTGACACCCTGGACCCTGAGGCGGGCACCAAGGCAGGCTCTGGTCAGGTCAGGTATGCGAATGAATGCAGTACTGAGGTCTGAACCAGCCCCAGTCTCGAGCCCTGTCTTATGCAGCTGGTTAGTTCGGGGCTGACAGTCTGGCTGTGCCTCCCAGCTTGCTTAGAAACATCTCTGATGAGTGGACTTTTTTGAGTCCTATGACCTCCTCAAATTTGCTCTGGACGTGACAAGGCCTCCTGGAAGGAGGCTCCCTAGGCCAGGGTGGGAGGAAGCACCACAGCTCGGGTAGCTGTGTGAAAGTACCTATTGCCCCCTCCCTAAGAAGCAGCCGGAGGCCGAGCACAGGTGGGAATGAGTACACGCCCTGCCCAGAGGCTCAGCGGGTGCCCGTCCCTTCCAGCTATCTGTCTCCCTCACTGTGCAAGAGAGCTGCAGTTGGCAGAACACTCAGCAGGAACGCATGCTCGGCCCAGGGGTTAGGAAATTGATTGCAGATGTCAGTGAACCTCTCTCCACTTCCGTCATGAAGGGTTTAGCTTGTTCTTGAGCACAGCCGCTGCGGGGGCCCAGGGCAGCAGCAGTCAGGCCACAGTAGGACTGGGACGCAGTACCCCCCATAGGCCTTTGCTATTAAGGGGCTGAGAAGGGACAGACCTGTTTCTAGGCCAGGAAACAAAGGAATGGGTAGACAGTGCAATGTACTTCCTCCCTGCCCCCCAACAGCTGCTGCGTCAGACAGCTGTTTCCAGCCTGACTGTTCAACTTGATTAAATATTCATCAGATACTTGCTAGCTTGAAACATGCAATGACTATTAATCTGAAGAGCAGGAGGTACAAGTGGGTCTAGAGAGAAAGGAAAGGCTCATAAGGATCTAAGTCTTTTAACTCAGGAATCTGGAAGCCAAGCCAGGGTACCTGTCCTACCCGTCCAAAACAGAATTACCAGTGCAGAGGGTGGCACAGGCTGAATGGAGGCACCTGCCACCACGCCCCAGGACCAGTCAAGCCAGGCTCAGAAAGACTGCAAGGCCATTTACTGCTCAGACACTGCTGACCATGGCAAGAGGCAAGGGGCTGGGCTGGTGCTGCAAACCAACAGATAAGAGGCAGGGTAAGACCCCGCAGCCCATTACAGGGTGCAGCCAAGCAGCAGCAGACTTGGGCCTAAACTCCAGCAGTCAGACCCTGTGGTCCTCCTAACCTGTGCCTAAGGACTGGTCTCTCAGCACCTCACAGGGTGTGCGTGAATGACACAGGATGCTGTACTTGCTACTCCCGCAGTGAGCACAGGATTAGCAGTGTGAACTGGAGGGGCAGAGACCTTATCCATTCAGGACTTAAACAGCATGGTGAAACAGCCTCGCTTAGCAACCCCTCAGGAGCTAAGTTTCCATCACTGGAGACTCAGACTTTGGTCTCCATTCACAGGTGGGTAAAAGGGACAGGGCACAAGACTTCCTTTACTGAACGCAAATTCCTAGCATTTCACCCTCAAACAGCCCAATGTTTGACAGGAGAGACAAAAAGGTAAGGACTGGGGGGCTTCAGGAAAGAAGACGACTAGAGAAGTCCTTCATCCTCCCATGAAGACGGGGTGCCGCCTCACAGCACGCTCTCCTCTCGGCTTCCCTTCTTGTCCTCTCCTGCTAGCACAATGGCAACCATGGGTGTGGTTCAGGCCCCTCACATGCTACGGCCTTCATCAGCTCCCTGAACTCTGGGATAAGTCAACTCCTCGCCTAGTACTTAGCCTTTTCTTTCTTCCTTCCTTCATCCCTCCTTTCTTCTTTTCTCTCTCTCTTTTTTTTCTTTCTTCTCTTTCTCTTCCCCTCCCTTTTCTTTGAAAGTCAGTTACATAGAGAGGAGAGGCAGAGAGACAGAGAGGTCTTCCATCCGATGGTTCACTCCCCAGATTGCAATGACCGAAGCTGTGCCGATCCGAAGCCAGAAGCCAGGAGCTTCTTCCTGGTCTCCCACACGGGCGCAGGGGCCCAAGGACTTGGCCATCTTCTGCTGCTTTCCCAGGCCATAGCAGAGAGCTGGATCAGAAGTGGAGCAGCCACATCTCGAACGGGCGCCCATATGGGGATGCCAGCGCTTCAGGCCAGGGCGTTAACCCATTGTGCCGCAGTGCCAGCCCCAAGTACTTAGCTTTTCGAAACCAGCACTAACCTACTTGTCCAGCCTCTATTTATACCTGATATTTACTGAGAGCTCACTGCACGCCTTGGTGCATGTTTTACAGGCAACAGCTCAATCTTCACAGCGATGCCATGAGGTAAATGACATCTCCATTTCATAGATGAAGAAATTGAGAGTGAGAGAGGATAACTCACCTAAGATTTGAAAGTATCCTGTTTAAAGACATAAACAAAGTGTTATGTTAAGCTATTTGTCTGCCCAGCAGTTCTTGGGGCAGGTATGGTACCGCAGGTCACAGCCCATATCAGAGTGCTGGTTCAAGTCCTGTTGGGTGCTCCGGTTTTCGATCCAGTTTCCTGCTAATGCTTCCTTCAAGTGCTTGGGCCCCTGCCACCCACCTGAGACCTGGACTGTGTTTTGGCTGTGGGCTGGCCCAGCACCTGCCGTTGTAGGCATTTGAGAAGTGAACTAGCAGCTGGAAGATCTTTCTCTCTGTTGCTCTGCCTTTCAAGTAAATGAAAAATAAACCAACATTAACAACTGTCACCCCCTTCTCTGGCACTCTTGTAGCCTTTCTCAGACAGCTCCTCCAGGTTTGCTGGTATTTGGCTCAGATCACCACTACCCCATTTACGACTCACCCTCTCCCATCAGACTGAGTTTCCTGAGGGCAGAGGCTATACTGACACAGCTCTGCGACCTAGCACGGCCAGCGTAACAGCTTAAGTGGCCTTTGCAGGTTCACTATAATAAAAGCAGTACAACAGTGGAAGGCAAGCAGCCTTCCACGACTGCACAGCCCCGCTCCCCCCAATGGTTTTGGCAGACAGGTTCAACTCCTGAATTCCAGTGTATAGCTGACACTGACACAGACTGAAATAGGAGAGCCTGAGCTTGGATTCCTAGCTCTGCTACTTAACAGCTATATGACCGTGGATAAGTTACTTCCATTATGTGTAAAAATGAGATAACTACATCTACTTCACACCGGTTGAGAAAACAGCACATGGCACTGAGTGAATGTCCAATAAATGTTACAATGGACAAAATGCAGTAGTAATAAAACCACATGGTTTTTAGGGTACCTCTTACAAGTAATGTGAAAAAGAACTGCTCTATTTAATTGCCAGTATTATGCTCTCTTTATAGTACTTAATGATATATCTTATAATAAATGGCCTCTTGGAGCTGATGACATATGGCATCATCCTATAGAAGCAGCATGCTGTCTGCACAGAGAAGACTCTAGTGTTCAACAATGCTGACAACGCACCCCTACCCCACTCCGGCTTGCCTCTCCTAGGATCAGCCGCCTCACTTATCAAAACAGGAGCACATAGTAGGCACCCAAATTGAGTTCTGTATTCCCTTAGCAGGCAAATTGCCTATTACCCCATCTCATGTTCCCCTTCTTAAAAATGCTGTCAGTACCACAGAATTGGGTAGACTGAGAAGTAATATTAGGGAAGAAATTAAAACATCTACTTACAGTTAGCACTGTCAGCCAACAGCAGACACTGTAGGCTCACACAAAACATAACATACCAAGGTTAAAGGACAAGAGGCCATACTTAAAAACCCTGAGCCAGGGGCAGGCGCTGTGGCCTAGCGGGTAAAGCCACTGCCTGCAGTGCCGGCATCCGATATGGGCACCCATTCGAGTCCCAGCTGCTCCACTTCTGATCTAGCTCTTTGCTACGGCCTGGGAAAGCAGCAGCAGATGGCCCAAGTCCTTGGGCCCCTGCACCTGCGTGGGAGACCAGGAAGAAGCTCCTGGCTCCAAACAGGCTGAGCCAAGCTACCAGCAGACCCTCTACCCCTCTTTGCTCACTTGGTTCAGGAACACTGTGCACAGCTGTGGGCAAGAAGCCTTCTGGGGACCAAATCATGGTGTTGCTGTTCCTGAAACAAAAAAACCACCAGAGTTTCATCCTTGGTGGTGAGAAAACCCAAGCAGCTCTTGATGCATCTCTAACTTCATTTTCAGCCCGGGAACAAGTTGAGAGAGAACAGGAAAACGCTAAGGCAGCTAAGGCTGCATCTCTGGGTGAGTGTTCCCTTAGTAGTAACTGTCATTGACCAGAGTCACTCCCAGTCTTCACGGACACTGTGTGGAGAGGAAAGCGGGGACAGATGGACATATGGGCGATGATGATGGCTGGGCACAATGGAGCTCAGTCTGAGTTTCTGGAGAACTCCCTATGGTCAGGTGTAGCAGCCAGGGCCACCTCATGTGCATGCTTTGCCGTTGCCCCACCTGGAATCAAATCTCAGTTCCATCACTTAAAGCTCTGTGAAGCCAATAATCCGATCAGCTATATTTAGCACTGAGCAGCTCTGATATGCCTCGGGTGGCACTCACCACTAAGGAAAACCTACTTCAAAAGGCAGGTCCATATGAATCAACAGGTTTCTCACAGGGGTCAAGATCACACATTGGAGAAAGAAAAGTCTGACAAATGGTGCTGGACAAACAAATATTCACATGCAAAGAATGATCTGAGGGACCAGCATTGTGGCATAGTGGGTAAATCTGCCACCTCTAACACCGGCATCCCACAGTGGCACTGGTCTGTGTCTTGGCTGCTTTACTTCCAATCCAGCTCCCTGTTAATGGCCTGGGCAGAACAGTGGAAGATGGCCCAAGTGTCTGGGCTCCTGCCATCCACCTGGGAAACTTGGGAAACCTGGATAAGTTCCCGGCTCAGCTCTGGTATGGCCTAGCCTTGGCCATTGATGCCATCTGGGGAGTGAACCCATAGATGGAAGATCTATCTCTGACTCTTCTCCCTCTCTGTAACTCTGCCTTTCAAATAAGTAAATAAATAATTTTTCTTTTAAATAATGATCTGAATCCCTACCTCACGGATTCATAAATGTAATAAAAACTTGAGGCAGAGGTTGTGGCTCAGGGGTTAAGCTACCATCTGTGGTGCAGGCATCCTGTATGAGCAAGGGTTTGAGTCCTGACTGCTTTGCTTTTGATCTAGCTTCTTGTTAATATGCTTGGGAAAGCAGAAGATGGGCTGAGTACTTGGGCCCCTGCCACCTATGTGGAAGATCGAAATGGAGTTCCTGACTTCCGGCTTTGGCCTGGCCCACCACTGGCCATTGCAGCCACTTGAAGAGTGAACCAGCAGACAGAAGATGTCTCTCTATAAATCTGCCTTTCAAATAAATTTAAAAAATAAATAAGGAAAAAAGTCTAAAACACTGTCCAATGGAGTGGACACTGTGGTACAGCAGGTTAAGCCACCCAGAACAGTTGCATTCCATATCAGAGTGCCAGTCTGAGTCCCAGCTACTCAATTTCCAAGCCAGCTTCCTGCTACTGCACACTCAGGAGGCAACAGATGATACCTCAAGTGTCTGGGCCATGTCAGAGACCATGTGGGAGACCCAGATGGAATTCTGGATTCCTGGCTTTGGTCTGGGCCAGTCCTGGCTGTTGTAGGTATTTGGGGAGTGAACCTGTGAGAAGATGGCTCTCTCTTTGTAAATCTGCCTTTCAAGTAGGTGAAAATAAATCAATATTAAAAAAAAAAAAAACCCTCTCGGAAGAGATTGGGGATGTAAATCTTCCTGACCTTGAATGAGACAAATGGTTTCTTGCATACACCATCAAAAGTACAAGAAACAAAAGAAACAACAGATAATTGGACCTCATCAAAATGAAAAACTTCTGTGCTTCAAAGTAAAATGACACTAAGTTGAATGGCAGAAAATATTTGCAAATCATATATCTGATCCAGAACCTATAATAAAAAGACAAAAAATTCAATTTGGGGGCTGGCACTGTGGCACAGGTTAATCCTCCCCCTGTGGTGGCGGCATCCCATATGGGCACCAGTTCCAGTCCCAGCTGCTCCTCTTCCAATCCAGCTCTCTGCTATGGCCTGAGAAAGCAGTGAAAGATGGCCAAGTCCTTGGGAGACCCAGAAAAAGCTCCTGGCTCCTGACTTCAGATCGGCTCAGTTCCAGCTGTTGCGGCCACCTGGGGAGTGAACCAGCAGATGAAGACCTTTCTCTTGGTCTCTCCCTCTCCCTATGACTGCCTCCCAAATAAATAAAATCTTTAAAAAAAAAAAAAAAAAGAAAGACAAAATTCAAAAGTGGTTAAGCATTTAAATAGCAATTTCTCCAAAGAAGATATGTAACTGTCCAACAAGCACACCAAAAAATGTTAAACAAGTCACTAGAGAAATGCAGATCAAACCCACACGGAGAAGAGACAGGGAGGCTTGTGTCTGACTAGTGGCTGATACCTGAGACCTCCTACTTCAGAGTGCCCAGGTTCAACAACAGGCTCTGCTCCCGACTCCAGCTCTCTGCTAATGCAGACCCTGGGAGGCAGCAGTGATGGCTCAAGTGATTGGGTTCCTGCCATCTGCCTGGGAGACCTGGATTGAGTTCCTGGCTCCTGGCTTTGGCTGGGGGTCATGGTAGGCATTTGGAGAGTGAACCAATAGATGGGAGTTCCAGCTCTCCAACTCTCAAATAAAAATATAAAAACTAGGAACTTGGCCAGCGCCGCGGCTCACTAGGCTAATCCTCCACCTTGCGGCGCCAGCACACCGGGTTCTAGTCCCGGTCGGGGCACTGGATTCTGTCCTGGCTGCCCCTCTTCCAGGCCAGCTCTCTGCTGTGGCCAGGGAGTGCAGTGGACGATGGCCCAAGCACTTGGGACCTGCACCCCATGGGAGACCAGGAGAAGCACCTGGCTCCTGCCTTCAGATCAGCGCGGTACGCTGGCTGCGGCGGCCATTGGAGGGTGAACCAATGGCAAAGGAGGACCTTTCTCTCTGTCTCTCTCTCTCACTGTCCACTCTGTCAAAAAACAAACAAACAAAAACCTAGGAACTTCACCTATACTAGGAAAGCTAGTAATAAAATAGAAAATAAGAAGTGTTGGTGAGGATACGGGAAAACTGTAACCCACACAGGCTGCTGGTGGGAATGCTACAGCCTCTGTGGATAACTGTCTGGCAGTTCCTCAAAAAGTTAAACACAGAGTTACCATATGATCCAGCACTGCCTTTCCTAGGCATGTAACCAAGAAATTGGAAACACATGTCCACACAAAATCTCATGTACAAATGTACTATTCATAACAACCAAAAAGCAGGAATGACCCAAATGTCCTTCAACAGATGAATGGATAAATAAAATGTGGTGTATGCATACAAAGAAGTAGCATTTGGCAGTGAAAGGAGCAAAGGGCTGGTGCTACACCACGGAGAACCCTTGAAAGCACTGTACTAAGCGAAAGAGCCATTCACAGAAGACTGTATTATGTATGACTCCATTGATATGAAATGCCCAGAACAAGCAAGTCTTCAGAAAGAAAGTGAATCAATGGCTGTCTAGCATTGGTGGGAATGAATGTCTGGGGAGGGACACAAAAATGGCACAGTTTGTTTTTGGAGTGATAAAGATGTTCTAAAATTGATTGCAGTTAGTATTGACTATACAACTTTATATATGAAAAAACATTGTGGGGCTGGCACCGTGGCACACTAGGTTAATCCTCTGCCTGCTGTGCCAGCATCCCATATGGGCACTGGTTCTAGTCCCGGCTGCTCCTCTTCCAATCCAGCTCTCTGCTACGGCCCGGGAAAGCAGTGGAAGATGGCCCAGGTGCTTTGGCCCCTGCACCTGCATGGGAGACCAGGAAGAAGCACCTGGCTCCTGGCTTCGGATTGCAGCTCCGTCGTTGTGGCCATTTGGGGAAGGAAGACCTCTCTCTCTGTTGCTCCCTCTCATTGTCTTTAATTCTGTCAAATAAATAAATTTAAAAAAAATTATACATTTTAAATGGGTGACTAGTACAGTATATGAATTATATCTCAATGAAGTTGCTCCTAAAAATAAAATCCTCAAACTCCAGATTTGCCAAGACAGTTCAAGTCTGTTCAAAGAAACAGGATCTTAAAAACCCTACTCTGCCCTTCCCTTTGTGTTAACTGAAGGTGTCAGAGTCTGCTGCAACAGCAGGCTAAGGGCCACACTTGGCTTGAAGTAGGTATGTTTTATTGAAACAGTGTTTTTAAATAAGTAAGCATACACTGAAACAATTACATATAAGACTCAAACTTCTGGGGCTGGTGCTGCAGCATAGGAAGTTAAGCTATTCTACGTGTCCAGGCCAAAGTCAGGAGCCTAGAGCTCTATCCAGGTTTCCCAATGGGTGGCAGAGGCCCAAGTACTTGGGCTATCTTCTGATGCCTTTCTAGATGTTAGGAAGCTGGCTGGAAGCAGAGTAGCTGGGGCTTGAACCGGCACTCTGACACATGAAGTGGCCACTGCAAGCAGTGGTTTAACCCACTGCTCCACAAAGCTGGCCCCACGGGCTGATTCTGAAAGCAGCACGTTACGAGTACCTGCTTGCAAAAGGATGAACTCTGAGAATATCATGCGAAGTGGAAAATGTCAATAATGAAAAGCACAATACATCGCTTACTTAGATGAAATGTCCAGAAGAGGCGAATCCATAGAAACAAAAAGGTAAGCGACTGCCAGGGGCTGCAAGTGGGAGAGCGACTACTAACAGGCACAGGCGTTCTCTCCGAGGTAGCAAAAATGTTGTGGAAGGGTTAAAAGTTTTCTGTTGTCTAAGGTGACAAAGGCCAAGGACAGGTACACAGTCTTGCCTGGCTCTAAAGCTTACAGAACTGTAATAAAAGCTTGCAGGTTGTGAGACCACTTCCAGCAGGCCTGGAGTCTGCCTTTCCAAACACACATCACAGTTCAAATTAAAGACAAACACACACACACAGTTTTCCTGGTGTGGGCTATTTAGCCTAGCAGCCCACATCCAAGTGCCTGCGTTCAATATGCAGCTTCCTGCTGCTGTGATCCCCAGGGCGAAAAAGTGAGTCAAGTGGTTAGCTTTCTACCACCCACACAAAAGACATGGATAGGGTTCTGGGCTCTTGGCTTTGGCCCCTACTGGTGGCCATTTGGTGGGTGAATCAGTGGCGGATGACAGCTTTCTCTCTCATATAATAAAGCAATACAATTAAAAAAAATTAAAAAAAAAAATACAATTAAAAAAATTTCCCCAAACTTTAATCCATTTCTGCTCTTAAGGCTACCCTGGGGAGGAGGAAACTGAAGACCCAGGCCAGAAGACACAAAGTCGCAGATATGCAGAATAAACAAGCCTAGTTATGTGATGTACCTGTTAAGTTACACTGTGAATGGTGCTCACATTCAATGAGTAACATCCCAACTTCCTTCTGAGGAATCCATTTTTTCTTACTGAATATTGGTAAAATAAGAGCATGTGATTCAAGCTAATCCAGTCTGATATTTCTCCCCCTAGAATTTGAATCTTTTAAAAATCATGTGAAAAGGGTTAGGGGGGAGAGGAGAAAGGGATGGAGGGAGGGAGAAAGATCTTACATTGGGTACACTCTCCAAATATCTGCAACAGCTGGCACCTGCTAGGTCAAAAAAGGGACCTAGGATCACAATTCGGGTCTCCCACAAGGGTGGCAGGGACCAAGTACTCAAGACATCACCTTCTGCCTCCCAGGGTATGCACTGGTAGAAAACTGGAATCAGATGCCGAGCTGGGACTACAACCTAGGCACTATGATATGGGATGCAGATGTCCCAAGTGGCATTTTAACCACTAAGCCAAACACCAGCAACTAAATATATGAATCTTAAGGGAGAAAGAAACCAAATACAGGTAGGGCTTACTTGTTCTAGCGACAGAGCCCAAGCAGTCAGTCCCCGCTCCAAGACCATTACCATGGTCCACTCCTGCTGCCCCAGTTCTCCGCAGCCACTGTAGCTTTCTAGCCTTCACACTGAACCCATGAGCTCCGAACATCATCTTTCTAATGAATTCCTTTCTAATTACACCAGTCACTTTGTTGCCTGGAACTAATGAACTCCAAATGAAATACTGCCTCATCAGTTACTGACAGAATAAACACAGTGAGAGTCAACAGATGTTAAGCTGACACTATCTGATCTTATCAACCACTAGAAGTAAATTTAATATGCACTGTAAACCAGCATACAAGTCTGGTGATGTTCTAAACTGTGTACAAATGTCTGCAGGAAAAGATCAGCCCATGGACCACCCTCCAGTCCATGCCCCGGAGGGATGTTCATAGTCGTGAGAAAAGGCCTACCATCCTTGAAAGCTACCTTAACGTACCTGATAGCGGTCTTCATTACCCAGTCTACTCTGGGAAGTGCCTCAGGAGTTTTCAATCACCTGAAAATGGAGAAATGAAAGATCAGTCTTCTGAAGAGGAAGTTGTAAAGACATACAAAATAAAAGATAAAGAGATCCTGCATGCAGCTTACACATTACAGGAGAGAAACATGCAACTTTTGAGAAATTTTAAGTAACATTTCATTGTGAATATCAATATGGGGACCTATAGGGGTTCATCTCCTTGTACATTTTAAAATAACTGAGCAGAAAGCTTTACTTTGGGGTGCAGCAGGAGGTCTAATCTACAGTCATTGAAATTTTACAACGTGTCATTTAAGATGTCAGACTCTGTGCCCAGGTTACATTACAGTTCACTTGTGATGGGCAGGATTATTAAGAGTTATGGCTAATTTATGCGGCAGCATATGTTTTTTCTTTTTACAGCTATTTTTATTAAACAAGTTTTGCAAAGTTTTAACATTAAAATTAACAGCTAAAGAATTGTTTATGCAAGTTGCTGTCACAGTTTATATAAAAGAGAAATATGTGCTATTAAAATCAGACATTTAGGTTACCTTTGGTTTTTTGCGATGCATGTTAGCTTTACACATCCTGATTCTCTTGCGATAATTTTCCTTTAAAAAGGGGGGTATAGAGTGATCTCTTTTCATCAAAACAAGACATAATGCCCTGAAAGCTGACTTCAAACCATGGTTGAAAATTCAGTTATTTACACTTTATCACATTCTACAAATACATTTTTTTGTTGGTGTGTTTTAAAAAGAAAAAAAATGTCCATCATGCACTGCTGCAGGCAGCTTGGCACTTCATACAAGAGGATTTTTCACCCCCGAGCAGTTTAGGTGGCTCTCTCAGGGAAGGTATGAGAACCCTGAAGATTAACATAGAGTAGTGGAAACGGGACCAACCAATTCCATCATTTCCTGTCTTGGTCTCACTGGAGCAAGGTCAGAGCCAGCCTAGCATGCCAGGTCCTGTCCAGCCCAGCCGAGCTACTAACAGCATTTCTGGGATTGGAAGGGAAACCCTTTTAAGGGCACCCATGGTTTGCTGAATTGTCAAATCTAAAAGCAGGTACTATCCCTTTTCAAGCTCACAGATTATTTGGTGTCACTCTTTAAGGCCACATAGGGGCTCTACAGAAGGTGCAAACTAGGGTGGCTGGCCCTTTAAATACTGAGACCTATATACGGAAACCAACCCAGGTTTTGGCTCAGTTGGGCTTTTCTTTCCAGAAATTAGAACTTTTGATAGGGCTGCATGAAACTGCTTTCAACAACTTCCAGGGGGTGAAAAAGCTTTGGTTATTTTTAAACTAAAACTTAACAACTCAATAAACTTTTTTTTGGTAAACTTAAAATAAAACCCCCCCCACCACTTTTAAGAATGTCTCCAACTTTTAACAAGCCCATTAACTTTAGAGTTAATTTAAGTTTATTTGAAAGAGAAAACTATTTTATTGTCCACCCAAAAAAAATGACAATTCATCACATTTACTTTGATTAAAAAAGGACTAAACTTTATTGACAAACTGCTGCAGACATTTTGACAGAAGTTTAAGCTACCTATTTAGGCAGACTTACACATGTAGCATTTAATCTTCCAAGAACAAAATGGGAGGACGGTACAAATCCAATTAGGACTTTAACTTATGTACAAAGTGGATTTTGATTCCTTTTTCATTCAGCTGCAGTGTCCCTTTTTAAATCATGCTAGTGTTGAGACATACTTGATTAGCTACCTTGGGAACAGTCCAATATTGACAATCGTCAACTCAGGAAAACCACTGGTTTTTGGCCCCAGTGTCCAAGTGAGCTTTTCATGGAGTGCACAATCTCAGATGGACAAAACACTTTGTCTAAAATTTTTAAATACTGCAGTTTTAGTAACTGGTACTATGACTGTGGCTAAAAGTTCTGCATCACATTCAACCCAGGTGGCCAGCCCCTCTCCCCATCCACCTCTTCAGAACCTACTCCCGCTAAGTATCTCTCAACACTGTATGTCTGGGGCTAGATTTCAAAACCCACATAATGAAAAAGTCAATTTTACAGACCTAATTTTTTGTTGTTGTTTTTAATCAATTAACATTAAAAATTGCCATCAACTATTTAATTCATGAGGATCTTTCATATTAAAATTTAACTTTAAGGTTCAACCGCCATGTGCTTTTAAAGGAAACGTTTTTAGAGACGTCTGAGCTCACTTTTACATGGTGGCACCTACTGCCATTAACATTTGTGATTTTAAGACTTAAACAGCCCTGAATTTTGAAATGTAGCCTAGTTTGGGATTCTGCAACTACAACTTTACGGGATGCCTCAAATCAAAACTAAGAGAAAGTTAACAAGCCTTTACTTCAGAACCTTTAAGCAAGCAAAGTCACTTTTGAAACTAACAGGTTTGTGGTTTTTTTTTACTCAACTTCTTTTTTATTATAAAAGGTACACTTCTGTTTATATTTAAACAACAAAGAAAAAAAGCATCTGCACACTTAAAAAATTAATTCGATATTCCTAAATCTATTTTAACTCATTTTAAAATACTACATACAGAAGCCAGAATGCAGAGTTAAGAATGGAGTAAGGTGGGGAGAAGAAGGGGATCACGAAGAAAAACACTTAGACAATTACTTGTCTGTTGTGGGTAAAGCAACAGGAATCCTGGGAGATACAAGAAATCAGTAACAACTTTGCTCATAACTGCTATTTTCCCCTCCTGTTTGTTTTTAATAACGTCCATATGGATGTTCTCTGTATGCGCCCTTCACTGGCCTAGCTGGAGGGGCCTTCAGTGATGGCCTGGTCCCATTCCAGTCGTCTTGGCCTGTGAGGAAAGCAAAGAGAATTCATTAAACCATGTGCCAAAAGCATTTGGGGCTGAGCAGGGGTCAGTGAGCTGGTGAAGAGCACCCCAAACACTGCCTTTCTTCTGGCATCGTGGGACCTCCCTGGAGGCCCTTGCTCTCCTCTCTGGCCAGCCCTACTGAGTAGCTTGTCGTAAAGATAGAACCGGCTGGCAATGACTTGAGAACGCCCAGCAATGAGGCTATCCACAGGCAACACGACTGACACTGCAGTTCCCCAAGCTAAATCAAAGTGACAAAACTTCTAAAAGTCTTTCAGATAGGGAGCAGGTAGTAAGGCAGGCTTTCCTGTAGAGAAGCTCCTTGGGCTCTCTGGGAGAAGCAAACAAGGGCCACATTTAACAAGGTCTTCCACCAGCAGAGCTGGGACTCACTGCTCCAGTGGAGAGAAATGCAATCACACGTTGCCTTCACAGAACTGTTCAGGAGAATTCTTTAAGCATCTTTCCTATGTCAATGGTCCAGAGAAGCCAGAAGGCATGGTTTACGCTCTCAAATGGTTTCCCTTTGCAACAGGGAGCAGCCTGAGTTGATCACGTACATTTGTAACTGACCCTTTAGGAAAATGAGTTATGTCGTCGCTCCTTCTTCCCACTGGTTCCTACACCTCCCCATGCACTCCCTTCCTGAGGTACTCCTCTTAGCTGTCTGCAATCACAAACACATGCTTCCATCACTCTAGGTCTTAAACTAAAACCTTAAGTCATACAGAACCCTGTTTAGACTCTCAGTACAACATGTATGTCCAGCACTGTCCAGTGGCTTCTGGGTAACATGACAGCTATTTTCCTAATTCTGCTTGAAAGGACAGAGATCAGAATACATTAACCACGACAACATCATATAAGGAGCAGCCTGCCTCTTTCAGTTCAGTCCTTTCTTCAGCAAAACAGAAACGCAGTTTAGTCAAACACATACAGAGGTCTCATTGTACTGCCTCGCTGACGGAGGGAAACCTGCTTGACAGGGGCACATAGGCACAGAAGTGCAGTGTTGCTGATGGCAGCCGTCCAGTACCACTGAGCTAGAACTGGAAACAACTGTTTCCTTGGGCAAGCAGCTGACTGGTTATTTCTTACCATGCTGAGGAGTTGCGTGCAGCCTGTCTGTGGGAGGGCCTAAGCAGTTCCTTTTTTTATAGCTGGGGGTAAGGGAAGACTGTAAACCAGTGTCTTCAGATGAACTGCTGACGCCTGAGGCTCTTGCCAAGAACTCTCTGGAAGTCCCTCAGGTATGTTGAAAATACCTCACATCTGAAAGATTGCTCTCTCTGCATCCAGTGCCACATGGCACTCCCTCCAGGGCCCACTAACATGGAGCCATAATTGGCTCTTGAGGACTCGCTTGAGCAGTTTCCAACTAAACCTCAGGAAGGCAGTTGGGTCCTGCTGCCATTCCAGCCTCTGTACCTCCCTTAGGATCAAGGCTGAGCACTGAAATGTCTTCAAAGCCAGCAAGTATTTCGGTGCTGGCACTGCCCTAAATGGGCAGCAGCCCCTACCTCTCTGATGAGATCTGAACAGGTATTATTCTCACCCCCTACCCTGCTCTGACTGGCTGCCTTCCATCCAGGTCCCTCTGTCATTTCTTCTACAATGAGATTCTTTCTGAAGCAATTTAACTTTTAAAAAATGTGGTGAAGCAAAGGACTATAGTTGGGTAAGATTTAAGTTCTTGGTATATACCAATGTGGCCTAGGTACCAGCAGCAAACGTGCAGAAATATAATCCAGGACTACTTGTCCCCTGAAAAAGCCCATAATGAGCTTAAAAGTCTGCTGCTCCAACCAGGCCAGGCTGGACCTGAGCCCTAACTTAAGACATACACTTAACCTGCCAAGGACCCCTCCCATCTCTTCAAGTGTGTCTGCTTGACTCCAAATAATCCAATCACTGGCATTCTAACAGGCACTTACTTGTAAGTTCTGCCCCACCACAGATGTACATACCATAAGCTTCATAAGAATCTTGAACCTCCCCATGTCCATAGTCATAATATTCTGAGTCCCTGAAAACCAAAGACAGAGTGTTAACGCATCTCAGAGGAACTACATTTCTTTGTCGTTTTTCTGTGTACAACATAGGAACATCCTCATTCTGCCCAAACCCTATACCTCAAATACTTCTAAACACCGTGTATACCACGTACCTATTTACCACACTGCTCACTACAAGAGAATAAACAGCTATTCTGTCCCTGTACAATTTAATGTGGCTGTGATATTTCAAAATCACAAATACAATTATTTAAAAGTACTCCCCCCTTTTGTTTCCATGTAGCCACAGCTCAGGAATTTTTCATCTGCTTTTCCTAGACTCCAAATTATAACTTAAAATTCAGAGTTAGCCAAATTTGTAGATCCAAGTCTGTGCCTGAGAGTCAAAAGCAGAGGATATCCCTTAAAAGGTGAGCCACATTGCTCCTTAGGTTTGTGCAGCCAAATCTCTCAGGATGTCCAACTCTATCCATCCCTAGGATCCCAAAGAAGAGCCCTAGTGCCCGACTCACCCTTGGCTCTGACTGTAATAGCCTTCATAGCCTTCATAGCTCTGTTCTGCATATGTGTCATCATATCCCTAGAACACATAAAATGAATAGAAAGTCAGAATATTCCACAGATGTAAAACAGCTTTCTAGATTAACAGAACATGGACACTTCCTCCAGAATACCTACTGTAGAATAATCAAGAGAAAGGGTTACTAAAACAATAAATAAAATCTGAACAAATTGGCTACAGGATAGGCGTGGGCAGGAAATAAAATACAAAACTGAGCGGCAGCAGCAGCAGCGGCAGCCGCAGCAGATCCCTTAGTAAAACAGTACACAACACAGCACAGCTTATATCTATCCAGTTTAACCCACAGACAGTAAATCACGCCAAAGCTGGAAAAATGTGCTCACATTCATCACTCACTCCAAGAGAAGAGGGGAAGATTCCAAATCTTACAGCCAGTCCCTAGCCTACATAAAGGGCCAAGAATTTGTCATTCAATCTTCCCTGGCAACCTTCTAGGTATTAGGAAATAGTACTTTGCTCAAAATATTCTTACATATTCTTCATATGTTTCTGGTGCAGGGGGTGGAGGCAAAGGTATCCTCTGGATGCCTGCTGTCCGTGCTCTTGGTGTTGGAGCACCCCTCACAGTAGGTGGGGGTGGCACTCCTCGAGTCACAGTGGCACCTCTGGTGATGGCTCCTCTCACTGGTGTACCACGCACCAGAGCCCCCCGAGGTGGTCCAACTCCACGGCCCCTAGAAAAACAGAGTTCACTTTAAATTATAAATAGGCCAATCATGTTCAGGTTAATCTGTAAACTATATAGCTAGAGAGATTTTTATAAAATTTATTTATTTGAAAGAGAGAGAGAAAGAGAGATTTTTCTATCTGCTGTTTCAGTCCCCAAATGGCTGCAACAGCCAGGTCTGGGCCAGCCTGAAGGGAGCACCCAGGGACTCCAGCCTGGTCGCCCATATGGGTGGAAAACCCATGTACTTGGACCATCCCGTCTTCTGCTGCCTCACCAGGTGCATTACCAGGACGCTGGAACTTGAACTGGCACTCTTATGGGATTCCAGCCCCTAGACAGATTTTATGATGCCTAAGTAGACCACCACTAAAGCATATATAGGCATGTGAAGTGGGAAAGGGACCTATACTGGAAGACTCTTCAGGTCCCACAGAAGACCAATCCATCAGTACACTGCCTCGGGCAGATCTAGAAGGCTGAGTACTTCACAAAGGTTAATCACAAAAGGTAAAACCCCAAAGGCAGGCCATTTAAAAAATGCTAAGACGGGGCCGGAATTGTGGCACAGTGGGCAAATCTGCAGCCTGCAATGCTGGCATCCTGTGTGATCATTGGTTCAAGTCCTGGCTACTCCAGTTCTGATCTAGTTACCTGTTAATGGCCTGGGAAAAGCAGTGGAAGATGGTCCAAGTGCTTGGGCTCCTGCCACCCATGTCGGGGACCTGGAAGAAGCTCCTGGCTTTGGCCTGGCCTAGCATCAGCCACTGTGGCCACTGGGGAGTGAACAAATGGATGAAAGATTTCTCTCTCTTTAAAATAAAAATAAACCAATCTTTAAAAGAAAAAAACAAAGTAAGACTGTCCAAAATTAACACTTAAAATTTTAGCAGGACTGTAGCACCTGACTATGGTTAAAGTGCCAAAGATCTACAATTCCATTCTTAATGCAACACAGGAATCCCAAGACCCTTCTAAAGCTAGAAATAAGAACAATGCTCTTATAATTATGTTACTACTAGCGGTCATTTATATCCTATTTCTGGCTATTTCCATTATTTTTACCTTGGAACAGGTGGAGGGGGAGGTGCGGCTCCCCGGCCCCTCACTGGCACCCCTCGTCCACGAGAGGGCTCAGGTACTCCATTCAAGTAGGACAGCTCCAGAAATTGCTCCTGGCAGATATCATCCATCATATCCTGGGAATGAAAGATAACAAAGGGTACTGTACAACACTGTCACCTTTTACCGTGAAGTCATCTGGCCCACGTGAGTCTTGGATGCTAGGAACAGCTTGGAAAGGCCAGATAAAGGCTCAGATCACTGACTCTCTGAAGCTGAAGAGCACCCTGCCTGTCACTTCTTTGAAGAAAGCCTTGGTGTTAGACCCGCCATTATTCAGGTGGGGCTCTTCAGGACGTGGTCCCTACCATCCGCTCTCCTCTCAAGCCACGCTCAACATTTTGTAGGTCAGAACCTGGCACCCACTCTCATACATCCATCCTTGGCAAATAATTTCCTTTCCCTGGAATAATAAAAGCCACTACCATTAATGGAGCTCTATGAACAAGGCACTACATAATAAGCTTTATATAGATTTTTCAGTTAAATTTTCAAAATGACCCTGAAGTAAGCAAGCAGATCTCTATTTTTACAGTTGGGAAAATAGATTCAAGGAGTATACATCAACCGGACCAAGGGAATGGAGCTTGAAAGTGGCAGATTCCAAATGTGAATTCGGTATTAGCTTTCTCCAAAATTTAGACTTTGAATCAACAGACTATACCCACCCCCCTTTTTTTAATATCTACCTGAGGGACTCTTAACTCTTACAAGACTTCCTAAAATAGTAAAACAGTACTACTATTGACAAACTTTCTCTTGATACCAACTCCATATCTGCTCTTTCCTAAAACACCACATAATTCTTTCTACCTAATAAGCACTTACCACATCATTTTATACCATGTTTATCTTCTCTTACTAGACTGTGAGCTCTTCCAGGAGCCACTTTTGTAACGTCGGAGGCAGCACAGTATTAGGCATCTACCAGATATTTAACAAGTGTTTGGGACAAACAGGAACCTGAGGCTCAGAAAAATGAAAAGATAACTTGTTTCAGACAGAGCTCCCAGCCCAGTGCTCCTCCTAAGGTACACAAAGCCTCATGGCAGAATTAATGGCTCTAAAACGAAAGTGGATATTCCGGCAGGGATGCAAATACAGGCACACTGTTTTTCCTTTACTAGAGGAAGAACAGTCAAATGCCAGACCTTTCCTATTAAGAGCTATTCTGTCTTAATACGTCATGCATTTCTAAGTATCTTAGGTGATTCTGGCTTAAGAATAGAAGAGTCCAGTCATTAGAAAGATGCTTCCCTCAACTTTTCACTTACTCCTGCTCACTTACTCCTCATTATTGCTTGAAACTCCCATTGGAGAACAAAATAACCAATGCTAGCCCATCGTTCAGATTTCATACTGGAATCCTTGGAGTTCAGCATTATGGGTAAATACCGCTCTACCAATTCTCCTCTCCTCTGACACATTTAGTTCCAACTCCTTCATTTTACAGTCAAGAAAACCAAGGCCTGTACCTCATTTCCTGCTAGTTTTAGTATGAAAAACATGACATTTATTCAACTGTAGCTGAATATTATTCCAAGTCTTTACTAAGTTCCAGATTAATCTTTGATATTAAAATGTGTAACAATCGTATGGTGGTAACTCTAACAACCACTAGGCCTTTTAGCCTTGCTAAAAGGCAAACATAGTAGCACTTCCCACTTAGAAGTGATAATAAGCAAGACAGATGCCTAGTCTGTTCTAACTCTTCCTAGGCCGCAGCGACAGCCTGAAAGGACCTGTGCATCAACCTATTTAATGTTACAGTCAACGGAGTAACAATCACGCTTCTTCCAAACCAAACTCTAAACGCAACTCCCTGAGACACTCATGAGGACAGTCAAGTCATAACTGAATCCATTACTATCAAATACTATACATTTCTGCTGTCACAGCCTCCAGACTCTAATCTACAACATAACTTTGGAGGTAGTCACCTTAGTCAATTTCCTAGTACAACCTCCAGGCTCCACGCTGGTACCAGAGTATTTAGCTTATGAAGACTGTTAACCAGACTGTAGAATGCAGAAACACTGTGGACTCAGAATACCGACAACGGATACTGTACACAATGAGAACCACATTACATAAGAGGAACAGACTAGCCTTGGGGGACAGTGCTTTGAGAACAAGGTATGAGTAATGGACCCCACACGCATATGCAGAATGTGGCACACAACTGCAGCAATGCTCTGCAATCCTAGTTAAAAACTTCTGCCTTTACAACAGCTGAGAGCCCACTTCTCCCTTGCTCAGAAGATACAGGCTATAGATTTCCTTACTGGTACTAGAAACTTCTTGACTTCCTCCATGGCATGGGCCATGAGAGCATAAGCCTCACATGGAGGTCCAAAGACTTCAATGAAGACATGCAGATCCATGTTCAAGTGGGCATATTTAGGGTCTCCACCTTTGCGCAGCTCTTCCTCCTGTGGATAAATGCACAGAAACATCACATCATGTGGACTAGGCCAAAGGGCCAATAAGAAATGAGGGCACTGTACATGGAAGTAGCTTAACCTGCTGTGCCACAATGCCAGCCCCAAAGAGCGAGTTTTTCAACTGTCGCGGGTACGTCGCATCTGAAAAGTTGACCACAGAAGGCTAAGACTATTTTGTTCTGATGGGAAGTTTCCTGGCACTTACAAAGAACACACAGCGTCTGGGCTGCGGCACGTAAAAACGACCAGAAGCCTTACTTCTGGGTTACTCAGGATTTCTTGGGAATACCTTTTTTAGTGGGTCTCACATTCCAGGTGGCTATAAAACAAAACAACCGATCTTCAAACTCATCCCCATGCATAACACTACTCTCATTTTTCACATTACTGAAAAAGGAGTATTCATTCACACGTTACTCTCTTTAGCCAGGCTAAGTTTAATACACCTAAAGTTGCCCGGCTCCCCTTTCAAGTTTTCACAGGTAAGTTTACTAAAGCCAAAGATGCTATTGTTTCCATTATTACACAATAAAACGGGGAAAAAAATCAAACACAGGCTCTTCCAGGACTGTCAATCAAGTCAGTTAATTTAGTCTGTTATCTCTTGCATCCAATGAAAACAGAGTCACATATATACAGTCACTGTATATACACGAATTGCTTGCTTCTGTAAGGCATTCCACACTTAACCCTGAGCAAGTAGAACACACTAGGGCATCCTCTTGCCTCACGAATGTGAGCTTACCTTGGCTTTGTCTCTCATTGAACCCTTTCCCAACACAGAGATCTTTGCACCAGTCTCTTCCTGCAGCCTTTTTATTGTATTTCCTTGTGGTCCAAGAATCTTTCCAACAAAATTGAACTGACAGAAATAAAAGAGATTTCTAAATACATATGCTCCCATAAAAATTTCCACATATATTTGTGCTCTGCATTGATTTTCAACAACCCTGTAAAATAGGTAGAGTATTACCACTCCCAGTTTACTGAAGGATACCAAGATTGTGCTGATAAAGTGATTAGTCTAAGGTTACACATCAGAAAGTGGCAGTTCCTACACTTGGAAGTTGGGTTTCCTGATGCAAGCTGGTGCTCTGTCCATCACACACTCCAATTTGCAGTATTTTAGTATAAACATTTTAACATATAGCACATAACATTTTTAAGACAGTGACCTTACAACAGAACAGACATGTGACACTGTTTGGTACTATGTTTAGCTAACTAAATATAAATAATGTTGCTTTCCTTAAAAAGGAGAAAGAGGAGGAGAAGAAAGCAATGACTTAAACTTTGAGCAAGAAAATAAACTTCATTCAGTCAAGGATTTGTTTAACTATTTCATTTTATTTAGATTTCAGGTCAATCTTTTTGATGGTGAGAACTGCAGGGTTCAATTTTTTCCTTGGACCTGGAGCCTGCATGAACATTAAACACACACACACACACACACACACACACAACTCATTGATAATAACGAGATGATTTCATTTCCTTCCTGGCTTTAGCTATGCTATTAGTTATAGATGCAGATGTTCCAACCACCACAAACAGGTAGAGCAAGTAGGGAACAGCAGTTCCTCAGGCTCAAGTTTCTGACGTATCACCATCTTCAGAAATCCTTACTACAGCTAATGACGCCCATACCATAAAGAGATTTAAAGAGCGCACATTTTTCTCCTACCTTGGGATACTGCTTGACAGGAATCAGTACCCGCTCTTTCAGCTTCATGTTCTTATGAGAAAATAAATCCAAGTAATTCTCCTCATCATCCTTTTTTGAATCCCCTTTCTGAATCTTCTCAATTTCTGAATAGGAAAAACAGATTTTATTTTTGGTCTGGTAAATGAAGTCAAATTCCCAAATCTGCTAAAGCAATAACATGGAGTACCACGTAATGAAACCGAGGACTTCAGATGACCAATGTGCTAATTTCAGATAGACTGGCTCCAAGTGTCAAAGCTATATGAGGATGGCTAGGAAACCCAACGCCTGCTTCTACCAGCAGTTTCCTTTCCATCCTGATCTGAAGCCTCTGCACCAAAAACATACAAAATGTCCTGATTTAAGAGTAAGTAGAGGGACCAGTGCTGTGGCGTAGCAGGTAAAGCCGCTGCCTGTAGTGCCAGCATCCTATATGGGCGCTGGTTCTAGTCCCGGCTGCTCCACTTCCGATCCAGCTCTCTGCTATGGTCTGGGAAAGCAGCAGCAGATGGCCCAAGTCCCTGGGCCCCTGTACCTGTGTGGGAGACCTGGAGGAAGTTCTTGGCTACAGATCGGCACAGCTCCGGCCACTGCGGCCAATTGGGGAGTGAACCAGTGGATGGAAGACCTCTCTCTCTCTGCCTCTCCTTCTCTCTGTGAAACTCTCAAATAAATAAAATCTTAGTTTTGGTCTGTGTGCCTCCGCTCATGTAATATTTTACAAGATAATGAGTGAGAAAGGACTAGGGGCATAAAGGAACTAAAAAATAAAAATCTTCACCAAGAAAAAATACGAAGTTGCACCCTGCTGAAGAAAGGAAACAGCAAGTTAAGCCCCCGCCCGCAGAGCTGGGCATTCCATATGGGCACTGGTTCTTATAGAAGCTGCTCAGCTTCTGTTTCAGCTCCCTGCCCATGGCCTGGGAAAAGCAGCAGATGACGACCCAAGTCCTGGGGCTCTTGCCACCCATGTGGGAGAGCTACAAGAAGCTCCTGACTTCAGCCTAGCCCAGTCCTGGCTGTTGCTGCCACCTGGGGAGTGAACCAGCAGGAGGAAGATCTGTCTTTTAAATGAATAAATAAATCTTGGAGTGGGGGAAGCCAGCAATTTAAATATATATTTAACATTCCATTAAAATTCCATTATGACAGTAGTGATTTTGGATACTTGTCCTTAAAAGTTTGAAAGACCTGGTTCTTACTCTGCCACTCACTAGTTGTGTGAACTTAGATGTTATTTGACTGGCTGGCGCCACGGCTCACTAGGCTAATCCTCCGCCTAGCGGCACTGGCACACCAGGTTCTAGTCCCGGTCAGGGCGCCGGATTCTGTCCTGGTTGCCCCTCTTTCAGGCCAGCTCTCTGCTGTGGCCCGGGAGTGCAATGGAGGATGGCCCAAGTGCTTGGGCCCTGCACCCCATGGGAGACCAGGAGAAGCACCTGGCTCCTGCCATCGGATCAGCGCGGTACACCGGCCGCGGCGGCCAATGGAGGGTGAACCAACGGCAAAAGGAAGACCTTTCTCTCTCTCTCTCACTGTCCACTCTGCCTGTGTAAAAAAAAAAAAGAAAAAAAAAAGAAAAAAAGATGTTATTTGACTGCTTTGAATCTTGATTTCTGCATTTGTAAAACAGAGGCCATATCTACCTTATGAGGACAGATAAAGGCAGAGGAAAGTAACATATACAAATGCCTAATTAGTCTATTTCTTAGAAAGTGTTTAATATATAGTCACCTTCACCTAGTTCAAATTCAATGTCCTAAAAAAAAAAAAAAGGCACCAAAGCACTTCTTTTTATCCACTTTACTGAGTTATAAATGACATATAAAGAACATTTAACACACACCATCCCATAAAAGCATCAGTTCCTGTTCTGGCTACTCTACTTCTGATCCAGCTATCTGGTAATGGCCTAGGAAAATTAATGGCGGATGGCCTAAGTGTCTGGGCCCCTGCCACCTACATGGGTGACCCAAATAAAGCTCCTGGCTTGCGGCCATCTGGGAAGTAAACCAGCAGATGGAAGGTCTCTCTCTGTAACTCTTTCAAATAAATAAATAAATCTTAAAAGAACAAAAAAACCTTAAGCACCCAGAAAATTTATCATGTTAAAGCTTTTTAAAAATTTATTTATTCTGAAAGGCAAAAATCAGAGAGAGGTCTTCCAGTCACTGGTTCACTTCACAGATGGCTGCACCTGCTGGGGCTGAGCCAGGAGTCTGGAAATCCATCCCAGTCTCCCACATGTGTGGCAGGGGCCCAAGGACTTTCTCCACTGCTTTCCCAGGTACATTAGCAGGAACTGGAACAGAAGTGGACCACCAGGATCTTGAACTACGCTCAGACAGAATGACCACTATGTTGGCCTGTAAGTGCTTCCCTTGAAGAGGCAGATTAAAGGAGAGATACAGCATGATCATTTTATTTTTTTAAATTTTTATTTTTGACAGGCAGAGTGGACAATGAGAGAGAGAGAGACAGAAAGGTCTTCCTTTTCCATTGGTTCACCCGCCAATGGCCGCTGCGCCTGGCGCACCGAAGGCAGGAGCCAGGTGCTTCTCCTGGTCTCCCATGCGGGTGCAGGGCCCAAGGACCTGGGCCATCCTCCACTGCACTCCCGGGCCACAACAGAGAGCTGGACTGGAAGAGGAGCAACCGGGACAGAATCCGGCACCCCAACTGGGACTAGAACCCGGGGTGTCGGCGCCGCAGACGGAGGATTAGCCTAGTGAGCCGTGGCGCCGGCCACAAGCAGGATCATTAGCCCCTACTGGTGACTAAGAGCCAGGCATCTACACTGTAAGCATAGGAAATACAAAGAGCAAGTGAGATTAGATCCCCATCTTAACCTGTTTAAATCCTATAGTTCCCAGTCTATGAAAGTGGCAATGAAGTATAATGGGTGCTATGATAGGGGTTCCAACAGAGATGGGGGAGCTGGCGCTGTGGCACAGGGGGTTAACATGCTAGGGGGCCTGAAGCGCCAGCATCCCATATGGGTGCCAGTTCAAGACCCGGCTGCTCCACTTCTGATCCAGCTCTCTGCTACGGCCTGGGAAAGTAGTAGAGGGTGGCCCAAGTCCTTGGAACCCTGCACCTGTGTGGGAGACCCTGAAGAGGCTCCTGGCTTCAGATTGGCACAACTCCGGCTGTTGCAGCCAACTGGGGACTGAACCACTGGTTGGAAGACTTCTCTCTCTCTGTGTAACTCTTTCAAATAAATAAATAAATTTAAAAACAAAACAAAACAGAGATGGTGGCATAGTGCCCAAAGAATGAGCAGTAATTGAAAGCTTTTTTGGTCCAATGAGAACAGTCAAAATCCAAGAAATTCACACTCCTTAAAATCATGAATATTCCAAATAACAAAGTATTCTCCTTATATAATATCCCCATACTGTGGTGTGTTTTGTTGTTGTTGTTGTTTTTTTTTTTTTTAGTTACAGGGAGAGGTAGAGCCAGAGAGAGAGGGAGGTCTTCCATCTGCTGGTTCACTCCCCAAATGACCTCAACAGCTAGAGCTGAGCTGATCCAAAGCCTGGAGCCAGGAGCTTCTTCTGGGTCTCCCATGTGGGTGCAGGGGCCCAAGCACTTGGGCCATCTTCTACTGCTTTCCCAGACCATAGCACAGAGCTAGATTGGAAGGAGAGCAGCTGGGACTAGAACCAGCACCCATCTGGGATGCCAGCACTGCAGGCCAGGGCTTTTACCTGCTGCGCCACAGTGCCAGCCTGTCTCTCTCTCTCTTTTTTTTTTTAAATAGGCAGAGTGGATAGTGAGAGAGAGAGAGAGAAAGGTCTTCCTTTTTGCCGTTGGTTCACCCTCCAATGGCCACCGCGGCCAGCGTGCAGTGGCCGGTGCATCGCGCTGATCTGAAGGCAGGAGCCAGGTGCTTTTCCTGGTCTCCCATGCAGGTGCAGGGCCCAAAGACTTGGGCCATCCTCCATTGCACTCCAGGGCCATAGCAGAGAGCTGGCCTGGAAGAGGGGCGACCGGGACAGAATCCGGCGCCCCGACCGGGACTAGAACCCGGTGTGCTGGCGCCGCTAGATTAGCCTATTGAGCCACGGCGCCGGCTACCGTCTCTTTTTTTAATGAATTGAAAGGCAGAGTTAGAGAGAAACAGATAGGGAGAAAAGGAGAGAGAAAGAGATTTTCACTCCCCGAATAGTGGCAACAACTGGGGCTCAGACAAACTGAAGCCAGGAGCTTCTTTTGGGTCTCCCATATGGATCCAAGGGCCCAAGACTTGGACCATTTCCACTGCTTTCCCCGGCACGTTAGCAGTGAGCTGGATTGGAAGTGGAGCAGCTGGAACTCAAAGCAGCACCACATGGGACACCTGCATTGCAGGCAGTGGGTTTACCTGCTACGCCTCAACACCTGTCCCATCCATATTTATTTATTTGAAAAGTGTCAGAGAAAAATAGCATGTGCTTGAGAGCTCCTCCTCACTGATTCACTCCCCAAATGGCTTTAAGAGGCAAGGGCAAGGGTGGGTCAGGCTGAAACCAGGAGCCAGAAATTCCATCCAGATCTCCCACACAGACGGGGCCCAAGCATTTGGGTCATCATCCCCTGTCTTCCCAGGTGCATTAACAAGAAACTAGATGCGAAGCAGAGCTGCCAAGATTCCAACCGGCACTCTACGGGACGCCAGTGTCGCAAGCAGTGGCTTACCCTGCTGTGGCACAACCCTGGGCCCTATTTCTGTCTTCTATAAGTTTAAGGCAGGAGCTCTCAGATTTCAGAATAAGTCAGATTCATAACAAATCTGAGGGCTTTTAAGCTAGATTTCCGGATCCCAACTCCAGTCTGAGATTTGTGTTGGGAGTCTGCAGTTCTAGCATGTTACCAGGTGATGCTGACATCGCTAACAACCGGTATAAAGATATCCTACCTCAAACCTACTCTGCAAACTATGCTCTTAACTGTTTAAAGTAACTACTTAGACTATGTGTAGCTGTCAAGTACACAGATGAAGGAAACTTACTATGTATCTGACAGACTTCAAAGTTCAGAGTTTTAAACTAAAAGTTTCTGTTTATTAAAATCCTAATTTCAGCTATTATCCTGAGCATAAACTCTAGCTTTCTACCTCTTT